AATATAGGCATAACACGGCTCACGTCATAATGCACATATTGCACATAGTTCCGTTTGACAGAAATACGTCCAATTATGAATATTTTACCGTATCCTATATTCCGATATATCCTATTCCTATATATCCCATTTTACCTATATCGATATTAATCTCAATGAGCCGTAATTGTGTCGAAAGGAACAGTACAACAATTAATAAAAGAAAAAAACTCGAGAAGCTTGGTTTTAGCCCATTTGTACACAGATCTTACAGTAAAATACGTCCGTGGTGCGTAAAATTTTAAAACATGTTATGTGAATTTTTTAATCAAATTCCCCGAAAAATTCCAAAAAAAACAATCGATGCATATATGACCAAAGAGGAGCCAAGTTCACAGAACTAAGATAGTAGCATCGCCGTGTAGTGGTTTCTAAGCCACATCCCCATTGATAAAAATATTGAAAAAATATGGGGTTTTGGGGGGAATTTGTCGCCCAGAATTTTGAAAATGTGAAATAAAATGAAGAAAAATCAATTTATTCGGAGGTCATCATTGAAAATTCAAAAATTGTCTCCTTTCTCTTGTTCAATTGAAATTGTCCAAAGTCCTACTATTAAAGTTTTAGGCTCAAAGGGGCAAAGATCTAAATGTCACTTATAATGATGGAAAAAAGTAAGGATGAAAAAGGCATATACACATTTTGCCATCCACGAAATCCATATAGAGTAATACAGATTTTAGTATTTGATATTTTTAGGTCTAATTTCACTGGTTCTAAGCTGCGATTCAAGCTTTCGCTCAATTCACACGTTTTTCGGAAAATCGAAAGCTTACCAGAGGAAATTTTGCAACGTCGGAGGGGTCATAAGGCCTTCTAGAATCTCAACGCTTTTGTTCTCGATGGATTTCACACGTTTTCCGGAGAATCGATAGCTTTCCAGAGGAGATTTTGCAACGTCGGAAGGACCATAAGGCGTTCTTGAGACTCTAGGATCTCGACGCTTTTGTTCTCGATGGATTTCGCTGTCGAGGACCAGGGGAGGGCTAGTGAGGGCCTAAACGCGACGAGTTGGGATCCCTCATTGTCGAAATCATCATGAATGCAGAAATTATTAAGAGTAAATGTTTGATGAACGGGGTTTATTTACGCTCTGGGCTCTGCTAAAAGCCCTTTTGTGTCCCTCCACATCCCGTACAAAACAACCTGCAGGGTTCAGCGCTTTGCTCGCTAATACAAAAAATGCTTTTTTCCGTACCCTCGCTCCGGCCCCGGCATCCGCTCGCAGTTTTTTAATTGCGCTCTTCGTACGCGCCGTAAACGTGGCGCAGTTTCGCCTTGATTTTTATATCTTTGTTTTTCAACATTTTTACTTCGTCCTGATGCCTGATTTACCTCCAAGTCTCCTCGCTCTTTCTCCCGGTCCAAGCTCGCTGAAACGTGTCAAAGAAAACGGAGAAAAAAATAGTTCTAGGTTAATGCTACCGTCCTAGGAAAAAACGCCGCGTGAACATTTTAAATGCTGCCAAATTTCTGCCAATGAACTATGAATTTCCTGGAAAACTCGCGAATTTTCCCATTGAAATTTTCCGAATCTTACTCTAAAATATGAAATCATAAGAATGGAGAATTTGCACGCAATTTTTTTATTGCTTCATCTGAAAGTGCCTAATGAGCTGAGTTCGCAATATTTTTCATAATTTTTTTCTGACACGGGAAATTGGAGAAAAATTGATTTAAAAGTGAGAAAATGTGCCGCCTTGTGACGTCATCTGGCGGCATTTCCCATTTAAACACATGTATTTTAGCAGAATCGGTTATTTTGTCATATCTCCTCTAATAATTGCTCGATTTATGAATCAAGGGTATCTTCGTGTTCAGTTCACTCAGAGGATTCCACTTAAACAGGAAATTCATCAAATTTCAGACCCTTGCAAAGTCTCCATTGAGGGGCTTGGAGGACAAGGTGCATAAGTGCAGTTTTAAAATTTTAAAAAATAGCTGAGATTAATGATCGCAAGTAAAACTAGTCCTCACGCACATTTTCTGAAAGATTCGCTCCCAAATTCTAATTTTTAAGCATCAAAAAGTCAGTTTGAATTTTTTTCCGCCATAAGGGTCCATGTGATTTCGAAACTTCGAACACATATTTCTTGAAATAAAAAAAACTGTACTTATGTGCCTTGTCCTCCAAGCCCCTTAATTACAAGTATCGCGTAACGTTCGAGGCGGGGAGCGCCTCAGGGCGTTGGACCACGGAGCGGCCGGGGGGCGTAACCTATAGTTTCATTAACATAGTAGCGTTTTTTTTTTTAATTTGTCGTGGGAAAGGGACTAATAGACTGGGAAAGAGTTGGATGTATATTCATACCAAGCGGAACTTTATGCAAATTAATTTAGTAACATCGACCTGTGTGCATAAAATTTTCGAGCAATACAGTTCCTTTTGTTTAAATTAATTTACACATAATGCCTTGTAGCAAAAATACAGCAAATTGAATCACTCAGATTTATTTTTTCCAATCAAATTTTTACCCGAAATATGTTAAAGGTGTTGAAAATTTTCGAAATAAACTAGTGAAAACCATAATCATCGTAGGTCACTTTGACCCTTGTAAAAATTTATTTCAAATTTGGCAAATAACTGGCATTTTGTCTCACAAATGATTCTTTCTCTTTTGATTTCCAGCACTTTTTTAAGCATCAAGAAAAAATCTATCACTCCGAAACAATTATTTCACTGGAAAACACGGTAATATTAGCGGAGTATCCAATTCAACTTAAATAAATTTTGGTTCTTTGGCAAGCGGAAAATTCAAACTTCCTAACGCAGAAAATGGTTATTCTTTACAATTTAATTATTTTCGTAAATTTTGAAAAAGACAGTCCTATGAAATTTTTATAAGAAAAGCATGTATTCATTTCTGAACTTGTCAAGTGGTTCATTTGCTGGTTTTGTGATAAATAAAAAACATCAAATTTGTAAGTAAAGGACAAAGGCGAAAGCAATAATTATTTTTCCTTGAATTTAGATAGACGATTTTTTCCCCGTTAATCGACAAGATTTGTATGGAAGCATGAGCGTATGGCGCTATCAGGGAACCTAGTTGGGTTTGGGGTCGGATAGGCAACTAAACTAACTGGGTGACGAAGTGTAGAGTATCGCGAGTAAATGAAGGCGCTTCAAGCCGAAAAAATGAAATCGTAAAACTGCACTTTGTAAATTTATACAATTGTTATTTATACATTTTTACACGAGAAGTCTTTTGCAGTTTTTAAAATATTTTAAACGTGATTTTTTAAAATTAGTCACTTGACAAAATCGTGTTTTGCCCCATTCATGACGCATTTAACTCGTGTCTTTCAGAAATAATTACTTTACCGAGGACAGGAGCAAAACTTGGCAACATTCGGAGGCTTGTACAGCGTTACACGGCAGAACGGTTATTGAACCAGCGTTTAAACAAAAGTGAAGTGCATGGAAATTTTTAGCATAAACCGAAGATCTTCCAGATCTCAATCCCCTCCCCTCCCCGCCTCATAATCTCTATCACAGCTCTGCCTGATGAAAAAAGGGAGTCGGTGTGGCTTCAGTGTGTTTTTCAGGAAATATTTGAACCGAAACTTTTAAAATGAAGACGAGTGCGTTTAATTTTCTAGAGTGCGTGCAAGCTCTTGAACCCGAGGACTCCCGATCACTCGGCAGATTAGCAAAACGAATTTTTGTTTTCCAATAAATAAAATGAATTAATATTTAAACAAAAAGCACATTTTCATAAGATAAAATGTATAGATGATGTATTGAAGAAATCCATGATTCACAGCAAGCCATTATTTAAGAACATAAAATAGCTTACAAACGAAAATAGTATACGCAATATATCACAAAAAACCAAATCACTAAAACACCTGCTTTTAAATAAATGCACTGTGCACTTAATTCCCCCCCCCCCCAATAGAAAATTGACGTTTTGAAAGCATCGCCAATTCAGAGAAGGATTCGCAATGTTCTGGCACTTTAAGTCTTTTAGTGAGGCGTGCGTAGTCAAAGTTTAATAGCGCTATTGCTAGCTTTAAAAAGGATTCATATCAAATGCTTACTGACGTTAATTATACAAGAATTTCTAACTTCAGATTTCGTTCTAATGTTCCGGAAGTGTCCGAAAGCAGAAAATGTTCTCATTTAAAAGTATGTACTCTTACCACAAATTTGTTTTTTGTTGCTCTAAGCAGATCAACCTTCATTCTTTGAGGCCACCATCTTGTCTGAATCTATCACTAACTGTTAACATTGTCGAAAAATGCGTCAATCTAATTTCTGCGCATAAATCTGCTGTCTACGTCACAAAGTGAAAAAAATTCTCTCAACAATTTTTTTGATGAGTAGTATGTCAGTTTTAGTTAGTAATTCAAAAATATTAACAAAAACTTTCAAGAGGATTATTAGGATGCGTTTCTCATTTAAAATTAAGCATCAATGGTGTTTTAAATCGTTATAATAAGAGGAAGAATTTTCCCACTTACACCATCGATATAATCGTCGCTTCTCAGACAGAGGAACGTAACTCCATATTTTGGTTCTAAAATTGACTTCCTAATTGGATTATTTAAAAGAATATGGCGGGACGATTTCTATCCAAAATTTTACTGATTTTTAAGTGCAACCGGAAAAATTCAATGGAATTTATAATTAAAATGTTCAACGGTTTCCTAGTAAGGATTCAATTTTCGAATAGAATTTTGCAACGTTGAAATGCAGTTACGTTCTTAATACTTGGATGTAAAAAAAATGTGCGACAACTCACAAAACGCTAAGTTAGCCGCCACAGCAGTTATAGCAATGTCAAGATGTAAAGCTAACTGCTTCGGCGGCTAAGTCAGCGTTTTGTGAGTTATCGCACACTTTTTTACCTCCAAAATGTTAAGTCAGCGTCCTTTTTATTCGGTGTTTTCTTTGAAGAGCGACGCTTTGTCTCCAGTCGAGGAAAATCAGGATTCTGGAAATCATAACACGCAAGAAAAAGGTTTTCCGATGTTTTGTTCGTTTTATATTTTTTTTTCGGTTTTATTTCTTACATTCTGGGGGTGGAAGTCAGTGGATTTAGAGGAAGGCTGGGAGGGGGAGTGCGGGGGCGGCTGGCTGAGCGGCTACGGGGAGAGGATTTCCGGCGACTCGGAATCCGTGCTCGTCGGCGATGTAGGAGATGGAGACCGGGGTTCCGTCCGGGGCCGTGTACCCGTAACTTCCGGTCTTCCTCACCGAAGGCTGGCCTCTGTGGTCCACCGTCACTTCGCTGTGTTCCTGCTGGGCGATACCGTTGGCCGTCTCGTAGCTGCAAAAAGAACAAACTCATAAGAAAACAAATAGCACAAGAGAAATCAAAACGCCTTCAATTACTCGCACAAGCAACACGCACGACATTGAAGCACATATAGTTGTATCAAGGCGTTTCACCAAATATCGATGGACTTAGCGGACCGATTATTGAAATTTTGTGTTTGAAGATAGGACAAGACAAGAAGACCAAGATGGAATAGACTTTGTGATTGGTTGTTGCTGCAAAAAACACCTAAGAACACAAACAGGCCACGAGAAACAAAAACGCCTTTCGTTTTTCGTGTAGGCAACACGTACGACACGGGACCACTTATAGTTGCATCAAGGCGTTACTCGGTAAATTGAGAGGCTCACAATCAGCGTGACCGATTATTGACGTTCTGTGTTTGTTGATTACACAAGACTTTCTAAGGTGGAGTTATAAGATTGAATGATAAATAGCATAAAACATAATCAGCCGAAAAGCACACGTTAAAAGACTAAAGCCGGGAAAATGATTGCTAAACAAAAAATATGTAAGATACCGGAATTTTCCGAAATATTAAGACTTCATTTTCAACCGGCAAAAAATTAAACGGAAGGAAAAAACAAGAAAAAATGCGGCCAACTACTGTTCTACGGGATCTGTGACTCAGAAACGGTCCAGGTTTCTTAATAACAGTTGAGATTCATTTTTCCTTATTTTCGATGACCCCCCTCCCCACCCTTCGAAAATGAAACTGACATTTCAAAACTTCCCTGCTTTTGGGGCATTTTTCGTTTTGCAGCATTTTTTCAAGATTAAGGTGTTGATCATTGTCACGTGATTTGACTAGATTAATTGGACTGAACGGATATTACTAGAAACCGAAACGCCTTCATTTATTAGCACTGCAACACGCAGTCTTGAAGTACGTATAGTTGTATCAAGGCGTTACAGAGATTGAAGGGCTCTAAGAGCCGATGATTGAGAGTGTTCGTCAACCACACTGACAAGACAAAGGTGGGATGGAGCTAATTGTAAGCGATTTGTCGGCTTTGTCAGTCACCCTCTTCATCGAATCGACGAAGGATGGAATCAACGGCAAGTTATCGGCCTCTTAAGGGGTGCTTTCATTTAGCGACATCAATGCTACCAACGCACCGTCGTGCCTGTCATTGATTCCATCCGGCGTGGTTTCGACAAAAAAAGACGGCTGACAAAGACGTAGACCAATCAGTAATCACGTAACTCTATTCTACCCCCAGGTCTTGTTTATTCAGTCGACGAACTCAAAATTTCGATGATCAACCTGCAGAACCAGGGGGATTTAAAAAGGCACAAGACAATGTACTACACATCGTTGCAATTCGAAATTTGGGATGTTCTTGTTTCACCATCAAATAGTTCATAACCGTCGGTTTTACCGGAGGTTGAAGCTGCCATCTGGGTTCCTAGATTCCGTGTGTTCAACGATCGGGATGAATCTTCTGGGCACGACTTGATTGGGGAAAGTCAAATCTTGCGTGGTCGCCACGACAATTAAGCTCAAAAGGACACATACCTGAAAAGTTACGAAAAATGTCAATGAAAAAAGTGGATAAAGATACATTTAAAAAATAAAGTTCATTACCACAATGAAATCGCTGTCCTCCGCACATTTTGATCACGCTAAAATGAATCAAATTTGTCGCATGAACAAAGCGATTGATGACGCGAAGTAAAATTTCAATTCGACGAAGAAAGTTTCCTTTCCTCCGTTAATTTTTTTTTTGGGGGGGGGGGGAGCGGCTCTCAATTAAAACATTTCAAACGCAACAAAAACAAGCAAATGCCAGATAAAACCGTTTTCTCTAATAACGATTCCTATTTCTTCCTAGTGCAGCTGGTTAAGTATAATAAAAATGCACTCTAAAAAATCCTGTTTCATCTAACAAGAAAACAGTATTCCTTAGCTTTTTGAACATGCACTGAAGTGAATATTCGAGCAATCGGAAAGCAAATTCTTTATTTCGCAAAAAGGAAGTACTATCTGAACTATCTCGGGCTCATTTTAGAAGCAGCGTATTGTGCCATTATTGTCCCGACGCAAATGTGTGCTTTTATGGATAAGCTAAGATAAGTAGTTTTGTATTGCGAAATGCAGTCTGATTTATTAAGCTAAGTATAAAAGTTTAATTCTGATAACGAACATTCACATATCATAATGACCTAATTTTAGATGTTACAATCAGAAAACTCACACAATACCATAAAATTTATGTTGCCACAACTATAATTTTAATTGATGCGATTTACTCCCTTTTTGGCGAAGCCTCCTATCTATAAAAAAGTGCACGGAGGCCAATATCTCAGCAATGAGATATTTATTAGGTCGGGTCGAAAAATCGGAAACAATTTAGTATCGCAAATAATAAATTGAAACCCGCTCATACAGTTTTTTCAATAATAACCTGCATATGATCTTACAAAAAGCGTAAAGCTGGAACACAATCTAAAAATATTGTAAGCTTATAACATGGCAAAATTAAACTTTAAATTTCTCCTAAAAACTATTCAGAAGCTAAAAAGACTGTACCAACAGACGTCTCGCAAATTGTGTTGGATAATACACAATACAAATGAATTTTTCACAAGGAGCATTCAGAGGATCGATAAATAGAAGATTGATACTTACAGTTTTCATGATTGCGGTGGACTGAGACGATCAGTACTAAAGTAAAAGGGTTCAAATATTTAACTGATTGTTCTCAGCATCAATGATGCTCTATTTATAGGGTTTATGTTTTCGACAGTCGAGTATTCCATACGTTCATTCGTTGCATCTTTCACCGCCTGTGAGGCTATTTTACGTGATGCCAAATTTAACGAAGACGAGGAAATAATACGAATGGGTTAAAATCATTATTTTAATGCACGAGCGATTTATTTTCTCCTTGTTGAGAGATCACAGTGAATCTAGGCGGAGTCAAGCCGGGTTGACAAAAAACGAAAGGAAAAAATTAAATACTTCGCTCAAAGTTTCGATACACATTTCATGAAATCTCACAAAGGCATGAAATCTATTATTGAAGTACACACAACATTTCCTTCATTAGTTGTTTATGTTGCCGTTCGCGAAAAGACCAAACGCATCGAAAAAAGGAGGAAATCAATTTTTTTCCTTCTAGGTATATGTGAAAAATGAAGACAAATTAATTAGAGTAAAATCATGTCTTTGAACACTGTTGAATATTTTTCTGCGCTGAGAAAATAATCTAAAATTTAAAATATTTTCTTTAACTCATCCTCTTTTTAAAATATCCGGAAAAATTTTCAATTGCATAAATTAATGCTGTCACCTTTAGTAGATCTCATGGTTCTGTATTCACTTATGTGGCACGTGGGAAGCACGGAAAAAAATAAAATGCTGATTTAGCATTTAAATTGTTAAAAAAAAAAAAAAAAAGCCCGTCAAGTTTCAAATGCTGATTTTACTATGAAAAAATGCTAACAAAACATTTCAATTTGTTCGTATTACAGTGGGCGTAGTTAAGTCAGCATTTCTCCAAATGTAAAATCCGCATTTGAAACCTGTCAGACATGTTTTTAACAATATAAATGCTAAATCAATATTTAATTTTTTTCCGTGAGGCTCGCTAGATAATTACGTCGTTTTGGCAAAGAATATATCATTGACTTGAACACTGAACTTTGTGTAAGTAATCGAGCATGTATACCAAACGGCAATAGCTTCTTTCCTTAATCCTAATTTCCTGGGAACTTGATATTTAGTTAATTGACTATTTCGGGTCTCTGTAGGCCAATATCCTCGATATATCTCAACGGCAAACTAACCGATTACAATTTTTCGGCCTCTTCAACCGTAAATTACAAAGATTAAACCTCAAAAAGCACAGTTCAAACTAATAAAGACAAAATGAAACGAGGGAAATTCAATTTCCAAAAAATTATGGGGAGATAAAACAGGCGCTTGCCCCCTCTTCGGCTCGCTTTTTCCCCTCGGAAAAGCGTGTTCCGGATGTAATACAGCAGCCTCGTTTCGCTCAGGGAATGAGCCTTCGATTAGGAATATGTTACAAACGGGAGCGCACGAAAAAAAAGTGGTGAAAATTTATTTCCAAAAAAGTAGGCAAAGAGAAAAAAAAGACCGCCTCGCCCCGGTTTTTTTCCGCACAAAAAACCCCCGCTCCCGATGTAGAATAGTCCTGTTTCGCTTATTGCCGTCCATTCCATCCATTTCGAAGTTACATCCGCCCCGCTAATCAAGAACCGCATATCTCCCACGTTAGAATGGTGGGGATACGCGGGTCGGGCCTCGTAAAGGGCGAGCGATTCAAATTAGTGTGTTCGGTTGCGCGGAGAGAATCCAAAGCGGGAGCCCGTAAAACACGAGGCTAAGCCCGGATCGGCCGATCAATTTGTTGGAGTTCCATTCGAAAGGTCACCGGGCGCGGGAGGGGCGCTGAGGGGTCATTCCGGGGGGCGCGGAGGGGGGCATTGTAATTAAACCGAGGAACGAGCGGGATGCTTAGCCATTCAACTGGATACTTGTCACATTTCCACGCCCGGCGCGGGGTTGGCGCGGGGGTGGCGGATGTTGAATTGGGTGGGTGGAGCGAGGGGCATCGGGCCCCGGTTCGCCCGGAGTTTACACCCGGAGCCCGGCTGATGGCTCGCGACCCTTATCGACGCCCGGTCGCCCGCCGCCCGCCCGCCCGCCCCGTCATGAATAATTGTCCGGATCTCGACCTTACATTATCAAACACCGACTAATCTTCGAAAATCTCCGCTTAAGACGACTACATTTCCACGAAATCATCTATTTCGGTTTCCGACGTTGCAGACTTCCCGTTTGGAAAATGTCAGCCGGTGTTGTGGGACTGACCCCGACGCCAAGAGCCTTTGCGCGTTATGAATCCCTAATTTAAACTAGGGGGTTGCGCCGCGCAACCCCTAGGAGGTGTGCTTCGCGCCCTCTATCCTCTATGTAAGGTCCGCTCTGTGAGTTCCCGTGAAACAAGTTACTGAGCCCTTGTCACCACGGGACGTTTCATGGGATTTGTCCTCAGTTTGAATTGCTGGAATGAAACCTCTGGGCTTATTCCCCGTTGAACAGTCAATCAAATTGTTTTCTTTTTCTCTCCGAGTCGCTTTTAGGACTTCATAAGGACTCTACTTGGTACTGTGAATAGCATTGACCAACTCAATATTTTTCCCAGCTTCGCAAGAGAGATTTTTCCCTCGGACAAATCCTACGAAACGTCTCGTGGAGAAAAGACCTTAAATCTAATAGAGAATCTCTAGGGAATATTACTTGTCGGTAGCCGCAAACATCGTGGAAACGGCCCAGCAAAACATCACACTGAAAACAAAAAAAAACTCTGGAGCCGTAACTACGGGCTATATAGCACAACCGTGCATTGCGGGTGAGGAGACCGTAAGTCCCCCATTCAGGAGCCGGAGCAACGGCCTCTACACCCGTAGCAAAAAGAGCTCCCGGCTCAGAGGCGGATGCTCTGGCTCCTGAATGCGGGATATACAGTCTCCTCACCCGCAGCGCACAGTAGTGTTATACAGCCCGTAATTACGGCTCCTGGAGCCGGAGTTTTTTTTTTTTTTTTTTGGAGTGTACAACGAAATGTGACAAAAATTGAAAATTTAGCCGGACGCGGAGCTTACAACGACAATAAAACGTCATCATGACCTCCAAATGAAGAGTAGAAATCCAACACCCGAAAACCACCATCATATGTTGCTAATTTTGTGCAAATGCCTCTCTCGTTAAACGGAAATGTAGTGACCTGATGAGAAAACAATTCTTGCTTGAAAGTAAAGAATAAAATTGGGAGGAAATTTCCCGATCCAGAACCCGCGAGTCGAGGGCTTCTACCTACACTGAAAAAAAAATCTCGGTGTATTTACTAAGAAAAGGGTAAAATTACCAAGAATTCAGGGTTCTATTTGATCCCAGTTTTTTCTTAGTAAAATTACCATTTACGGAATGGGTAATTTTACCGAGAAATCTCGGTAAAATTATTGAACTTTCTCGGTAATTTTACTGGACCTTGGTAAAAACGCCGATATTTTTTATCGACTGTGGTAGAATTACCGAGATAAAATGACAAAGTTACCGGGAATTGATTACCAATAAAAGTGGTATTCTTACCTGAAAAAAAAACAGTAAAAAAATACACTAAAAAAATAGCAGTTTTTAGGTAAGCTTACCAGTCTGTCTTGGTTAAATTACCAGTAATTGGTAAAAAAAAGTGAGATGGTAAAGGTACCAACGGACCTTGGTAAAAACGCCAATAATTTTTTTTCAGTGTAGGTTACTTTTCATTCAAGTGATGAGAACCATACGCTATATCTTATCAACACCTAATTCCGCTCGCCCGGTTTTAAATTTCCACTCTTTAAATGATCATCTGGCTCAAGAAAAGATGATCACTGATCATCACACCTCAATCATCATCGCTGCGATGTTACCGGATTGTGATAAGGCCCGTTCTTGTTTCTTTACCTGGAATCCACGGTTTCTAGGCGAGTCTGCAAATACAGAAAGAGCGATGGCCTACATGAAAATTCGGTTGTGATGATCATTGAAGACATTTTCGTGCCTCGAATAATCATTTCGACATCATGACGCTGGTTTATTTTTACAAAGGATATTATTAGGCAAAAAGGAACCGCGAAAATGAGGTTGATGGCACAATTTTTTAAATTGTTCCCTCCTCTACATCCATTCTCTTCTTGTCACTGTTTCACACATTTTTGACATTACAAGCTAAATATTGATTGGAGCAGGCCAAATGTCTACCACTTTTTAATACTTTCTATAAAATAGAAAATATTAGGTATTTTCTGTGGTTAGATTCCTAAAAGGTTTATAGTTTCTTCGTCCGCATGTCTGTCCAGCCCACTGTCGTGCGCAAGTTGTTCTTTCCATTACGAGTCTTGCTCTATGGCTCCTTTTGATTTCTCACTTAAGAGTCGGATTTTGAAACTCTCATCACTGTTGCCAGACGGTGCTGAAAAATCAGACCCAAAGCCATGTTAAATATACTTATTTTAACGCTAAACCTGGCAACTTTGCTCTCGATACGTCCATCGTATTCTGTATGCAATTTTAACGGGTGGAAACTTTATCGGAATGCTTGATTATTCTAAGCCTGTATTGTGATCCATTACATTTGTGCAGCTGTGCAGTGTAATTGAAATAGTTGCTATATTCATCTGATTGTTATTTCATTCAAATTGATTCCAATACCGAGTTTCTAGTCAAAAATAGCTGTCCAGGTGCCTTCGTTACGTCACATTTCACCGCGGGCTCTTCGCAAATATTGACAATCGCGCGCTGAATTTGAGCTGTACTTGCGGTGTAGCGAGAATTCGCAGTGGTGCTTCATGACTTGACAGCTCAAGGTTGTATCTCTCTTTTTTACGATGATTTTAACTCCTAACCCTAGCCTGATGGACTCAAGTATTTTAGACCCACGGCTCGATTTAATTAGATGGACATCGAGTATTAGGGGAATACTTATGAGAATAGTTTTTTTTATTTTTTTTTTAAGCCAAAAAAAGAAACATGTTAATGACTTCTATTATAGGTCAGATGGGGGCTCGTTATGAGTCGGGAGACGAAGAAAAAGGAGGAGGAGGAGTGGGAAGAAGAAGAGAAAGAAGTAAAAGAAAGAGAGGATTAAGAAGAAAAGAAAAAGAAGGGGAAGGAGAAGGAGGAGGAGAAGAAGAAGAAGAAAAGGAAGAAGAACATCAGAAAATAATTCTTTA